GCTGCTCACACTTCCTCAAAATCTTCGACCCAAGACCGTCAACTCACACCAGTTTAATAGCTACCGACAAGCATCAGAAGGCCAAGAGTGAGTCGTACGTCAATCAGAAGCAGGTGATCCAGTGCGTATCTGTAACAAATCGCACTTGAGTCCGGTGGGAGAGGTGGTACGAAGGTAAGTCTCTCTCGCTCATACATCGTGAACATCCAGGGTGTGGAGCATCCACGTAACCGTCGCCACTTGCTGCGCATTCCAGACCCTGAGCCAGTCCTGGAGGATTAAACACCACCAGACCACATCAACCAACAGCATCCGAGACCAGCAATGGACAGACCTCATCGCACAACGAAAACCCCACAATGGCACCAGGACTATGTGATGTACTAAACTCGGAACTGTATTACTAAACTCAAAACATCCAACTTGAACTTTGAGGAACTTTTATTGAAATTCATCACAAATCTGGACATTGGACTGACTTTATGAATTTCATTTCAGTTTCATTCAGTTTTAGAACACAACAAACCTTCGTTTTGGATTTAGCAGTATAGAACTCGGAAAGTGAAACATGTTTTGTTCTATTCCAACATTTCTACAGCTTAGAGCATTGAGTAAGACACAAAGTTTTGGATAGTTCAATTAGTCTTTAACACCAACATTTCTCAACCCAAACCTTAATGTCTCATTTTGATAGAACAGTTCAACATGTGTTTGTTGTTTCTGTGTTCAACAAGTTTTATTTGTTCACAGCTTAAAGGGGGAGGTGATGTGTACCCAGGCACCAACTACACGTTTTATATTAAATCAGTGACGGCAGTGGCGAATAAAGATATAGAAGATAGCAGCCTCCATGTAAAACTAAACCGACGTTTGATGAGTCCGTTCCTTTTGTCCTATTTACTGGATATAAAGAACCTATAAACACAACAACATGTAATGCCTCTGATTTAAAATTCAACAATCATCCGGTAACCACTCTTGTAGTAATTCTTAAAATTATCATGGCAAGTATTGTAAAAAAAGTCAACTTTGAACAACGAAAAATAAACAATATTACTTACACCAGTATGTGAAGTTTACTGAATTTGTTTTGTGTTCTTACTGACTCGTATGACTATTGAGTAATATTCTCGGCTACGATACCGGCCGGAAACGTCTGCACATTATTCCATAGCACAACGGGGAAAATTTGCCCCTTTGCTAAGCGTTAAAACGTAATGCTCCACTCTGAATTTGTAAAATTGTATATATGTGCATGCAAATGGTAACCGGACGTAAAACACCATTTCAAAAGATTGAAAGTACAGCCGGAGCCAAAAACATATTCATGTACAGGGTAACGGGACGTAAAACATAGCTAGTTCAAAGGAATTAATGGGGAATTAAGGTCAATTTTGTAACATCATTTCTGATCCTGTGCTATTCCTATTAATCCCTAGGTCGTCTTGTACCATATTGAATCATTGCTATTCATATCCTTGTGGTCCTAAATACTAATGACCAAGCCTATTCATGTAATCCTTTCCTTTTTTGTAGCAAAGGTCAAATTGTGCCCAACTGCCCCGTAACTACTATCGGTTAATGAATGGAAATTTGATGTGCGTGTCAGACGCTTGAGAAACTCGTGAGTGAATTTTTCCATTTTTTTTTCACTGGACACTTAACACGCACGTGAAGGAATGTCTGGCTGCCACTCTAGCCTGACAGACAAAATCTACTGATACGCCCGGGTATATAGCCTGCAAGAAATGAGACCGAGGGGAACCCCCCCCCAACATGTCCAATCCCCATACACATTCCAGACTATTGTTACTTAACACATCCCCCCAAGATGTCTGAAAGGAATTCCCCAGATTCCTGCGAGACAATGACCAACACAAAGCAGGGGGGTTCTCTCCGTCTCATACCTTGCTTAATATGCCCGGGTATTTCAGCCAGGCCTGCTGCCTTGTAAAAAGAGCCCAGATTGTGCGGTGTTATATAACTTTCTTTTGTTCACGAACCTGGCACAGTGCACTGCTGACCTCTTTTCAATGGGGGCCACATGAGCGTGCAGTGGTGCTGTGTGGTTCATTGCTGCGGTAGTGGAGTGCTCATATGCAGCAAGGTGTGAGACGGAGAGAACCCCCCCCCCGATTTGTGGTGGTCATTGTCTCGCAGGAATCTGGGGAATTTCTTTCAGACATCTTGGGGGGATGTGTTAAATAACAATAGTCTGGAATGAGTATAGGGATTGGACATGTTGGGGGTTACCCCTCGGTCTCATTTCTTGCTGGGTATAGGAGTGCTTTTGTCCTCGGTGGTAATCTGCTCGCTCTAAAATGCCCCGAAGGACGTGGTATACTGTATCAAAAAATGCTGAATTATATCTCAACTTTAAAGAGTGAAAAGATGTCGGTAATACCCAGTAACCTAGTCTTTTGTCACAAGTACGGTCCTTTGTTAGACAGCCCAGTTCCGTTTGTACGTTTGATTTTGTAGACCCCGGCAACGCATATAAAGCATACGTGTCAGGTAACAGAATCCCCGGCAGGAAGTGGATAATCACGGCATGCACTGTCTACACAGGGAACGTTGCCATTCAAATTGTGTTCTCATTTCATCGTATGGCATTCTGTTGGTCGCAATGGGGCTGGCCATTTTATAAATCCCGCAATTTACCTGCCACACCCTGCAGGGGAAAAATCAGGTTTTTGTTGACAGGATATGCTAACATGTGCTCCATAAGTCCAATGTCTCCCTACTTCCCCAGAAATTATCTCTAAATATTGTTTTTCCCTGGAATATGTCTTAGTAAGACTATGTGCTCAAGCCAAAGATTTATACAGTCATAGATTGTACACGATTTTTCGATTCAAAACAATTCTCCAAAAGCTTGTATGAAACATTTGTTTAAACGTACACCAGTTAATAACTCCAGTCTGCAACGATTCGTACAATGCAACGATAAGGTTCTAAACTCCTGCTCTGATTAGTTGAACTGTCTAATGCGCCCAACTTAGTATTCAGTTGCAATCAGACATTTCAATGATGGGGGAAAATTTACTCACTATGGGAAGGAAAGACAAATTTCACTTTTATTGGCTCAGCTCGAAGTCGTCATCTGTTGTGGATTGACGCGGTGTGGGACTACCAAAGGAATGTCCGGTGGAGACACTGGACATGGTACTCGGTCTTGGTTATGTTTTGCATCTCTGCATAGATAATCTCCATCTAGGTTCATGCATGGGAAGCCCGTTCGTCCTGTATCCGGCCATTGTTTGGTGTGGATTTTTACGCTCCGTGTGTGAGCGGCGTAACAATGGCCCGCAGGCTTTTTGTTGTCCTCGCGCGGTGGCGCCCTTCGCATCTTTTCGCGACATCATCTCTTTCATGGAACTATTCAACTCTATGATAATATGGTGACCTGTGCTTACGTCAGCGCCCCGATGCGGTCAGAGCTAATTAATTATGCGGCCCGCAGGCCCTTGCACGGAGAGCCTTAACACCTACTGCAACCATGGAGAAATAAAACCATGCTGCAACAAATTGTCTCTTGGAGTCCACATTTTATTACTTAAGTTGGGTGATACGTCTTTATTAATCCTCGAGTGTAAATTACTAATTTATAAACAATGTCTCTTTGATAATCAGTGCGTTTTATGAATGGCGGAGCAATATATTTACTCACGGCTTTGTGGCTGTGGGCGTTGGGTGTTATCAAACTCTCCAGAGTGCGGTCTTTTGTTACTACTGCGAACTGAGCAACACACAGGTAGGAAAGTTGCCCAAAATTCCTTTTGGTACCTTTTCTAGGTTACGAACCCTCACTGCATCGGTATCATCGTGACCACTGGTGGCCAAAGAGCATATCAGTTAGTATTATACTTGAGGCTTATGACATTTTGGGGGTGTTTTCTTAATTGCATTCGTGGGATTCTTCACAACAGATTTCTATGCCTCACACATGTAGGCCTACGCATAAACGAGAGGTGTCAAGTCGCTTTAATGCTGTACGATAGACCTGGTGTGTAACGTACGCGCTGTTTATTACAGCACAGCGCAAACGTGGGACTGCACTTTGCACCGGTGGGGCATGATGACAACATTCTCCGTGGCTAAAACTTCTATGTTAAGAGTGGGCTTTCTAGAATTATACAATGTACATTTCCATGCAAGTACATATGCTGATGGATATTGTTATTGGTGTCGTTAGAACTGTATTGACAGCAGCTCGAGACTTTGAGGGCTTAATTGCCTGCATGCTCAGACCGTCGCCAGTAAACCTAGCTCCAGAACTCATCAATATCTGAGCCACCACACCGGGGTAATTTATCAAAGTGCATATGCTATATTTCAATAACATGTTTTGCAAGACCACTTTTAAAACTCTGAGAATAATAACTATTGTGTGACTAAATTGTACCTTGTATGTAACACTTTAGTTTAAACAATAATGTAATTATTTTACATACAGGGTTTGTTTTGAGGTGCAAACTCAAGTGCTGAAATGAGACTGATGAGTCATTTAGAATAAATACTTGATAGCATATACAGTGTCCAACTCATCCTTGGGGGAGTATTCTTGGTGCCTCATCATCCAATACTGAGGGATGGACCTACCATCCCACCACCATGGGCGGCCTAGAAATCCACAGCCGGTCACATTAATATTCTGGAAATTATCCTTTCCACTTAGTTCACGCGCATGCGCCAAAATTCTGCAAAGCCCGGTACTTTCCAGAAGCTGTCTGAAATGGCTTTGGGCTGGGCAGTCGGCTAAAAATTAGCCCAAATCCATCTGCTGAAATTTTCCGATTTGTGTTTAATAGTGCTTCTTAAATTTATACCACACAAAAAATAAAGGCTTCAGATTTCGTTTTGTGATATGTTTCTTGCGAACCAAAAATGGCATTTCAAACAAAACAGGATTAAAGACTCTAAGTTAGGCCTACATGGTCAGGTCATACGCTAAAAGGGTATTTAAAAATCAATTTTAGAATCGTTCTCCAGTTTCGTATCACACTGCGTACTATATATTCGAATAGGTATTTAGGAATGTTTATTATGTTATTTTCGGGTCATTACTAATGTCCTTTCTAAAAGAAGTTCAATTTTAATATTGTTGCTCTCTTTTGAATGACGGTCGGCCATGATTTTTAAATTTAAATGTACGTGGGCCCACACTAGGAATGTCCACTTACCTACTGTGGACATTCATTTGTTTTCGTGCAGTTAAGAAAACTCTGTGAAAAATACTCATTTTTCTTGAACCAGGAACAAGATTTTCGGCTTGTTTTTTGTACAAGGTGTTCTTGACTGTTCCTCTTCCTTTATTACAGATGACCCCTACCCCAAAAGGGAGGAACGTGTGTAAGTCCACAGGAGGTTACCCTTTCCTGCTTCCTGTGGATATCTTTTTAATTTCATAGGTTCAATTTTCTATTGTACTTTTAAACCCGCCCCTGAAAAGCTAGACAGCAAAAGATCAATGACATATAATTACATTTTGAAAGATATATCTACTGTTTAATTCAAAAATGAAAAATGAAAACTGTATGAATAGGATAATTTGTTCTATTACATAATGTAGATTTTGTTAAGAGTAGCCCATGAAAAACACATACATTTTCCAACTAAACATGTGTAAGTGTTGAAACTTGTCTTTTAAAACGTTATAAAGACATAAATGAATTTCAAATGACTTGAATTAAAGATGCAGGCAACAGCTGTGGAACAGCTCCTGGTTCGATGATCCTGCGTGCCAGCACTGCAATCCCTAAAAACTTTGAAATAAAATGCACACATACAAAAATATTGGAGTAAAAAGACACAACGTTCTTTAAAACAATATGGGCTTGAATTCAGATTACGTGACAGTTGTTTGTCCGTGAACTACCTGAAGATGGGAGTAATTTGTGTGATCAGGTTTTCACTGTCAAATATATAAAAAGTATATCAGTTGATTCGCTTGATCTTAAGATGTTACTGCTCCCACTATCGATAAACTTTTGATGGAGTTTGCTGTTGCCGACTATTCCTTTTCCACTTTATCTTGATACTGGTTGTAAAAGGAATGAATAGGATCTCAATCAAGAATTTTAAGGGGGAATTATATGGGGTTAAGGAGTAGCATGTTATCATGATATTTCTGCAGGACTTGAAAAAAGGGAACAACTTCATTTATGATATTAGACTGCAGAATAGTTTGTGCATAGTATGAAGACCGTGTAAAACCTTAAACTAAACTTTCAAAGCTCCTTTTGTGCTTACAATCAGATGACAACTTAAATTTGGCACACTAAGACTGGTTTAGTAGCTTCAGTTTCTATCATGCAATTAATCCACTAGCCCTGCCAACATGAAAATTTTTAAAAATGTATTTAAATAGCAAATCCTGACCGATCTCAAATTATCAAATATTTCCGGTGTGAAGATAATAAATGGCATGATTCATACTTATTTTATATTTGAAAGTGCATTGTGAGGTGGTGTAGGCCTACATTAATTCTTGATTCAGTTGTGCATTTGATATTGCTATGGTGGTGTACTTCCTGCTTTGTTTACAATAGAAAGAAATACTGACTCTGCAGTTCTGGTGTGTATTATGGGCCTTCATCCGTACTTTTTCTGCAAAAAAAGTTGTGGAAACTTCCATATCTGCTTAGGTGAGGCCTGACAATGGGTGTTATGAGTGGTCCACAGAGGTGTAATATATTAAATTAGGTGATGCAGTCTACTTGCAGGTATTTGTTCAATGTTAACCCGTTTTCAACTTAGGGGCACAGATCCTGTTCCCACCCTATATACGTCATTTTTGTCTAGGCCTTCCGGAAAGGACCTCTATCAACCCTGACATGGAAAATGAGTATTCCAACGGGTGTATACATAGGCCTACTTTCTTTCAACGCAGCATATTCAAAAACTAATCGTCAGTCCCACTTGTTTTTGCAAATGGTGTAACACACCTTTCATGTATATTCTTCTTGATTAGGCCTATACATTTTTATGTCGATTTTGGTTAGAAGAGTGGGTGACTTGGACTATATTCCAAGTGCTGCAGTGCAGTGTTCTGGTGTTCATTTACAACGAAATGTATTACATGTACTTTCAATTTCCAACGCTCTTTCTTTTGAATAAAAACCAGCTGGAGCGCGACTGCGTGCGGCCTTACTATTGTCAGTGTACAATAACGTGTGACTCATGAATCATGAACGCAGTTTCTTTTTCTTTTCTTTTTTTTTAGTGACAAAGGATTATAGACTGGTCCCCGTTCCTATTAAACATTCACTGAAAAATTGCTTGGGTTACATTTTAACCCAAAGAAGCGTGGAAACTGCAACTACCCTGATATGAGCTGTGTTAACCAAACTTTGGGTTGAGAATTACTTTCTGTGCCCAAGTTGGTTTGAAACAAACTAAACTATTAGGTAGTTGTAGTTTTCACCCTCGCTTGGATTAAAATTTAACCCAGGCAATTTTCAGTGTTGGCTCAGGAATTTTGTGCTACCTACCCGAATTGGCGGTACTCTGTTGCCTTAGATTCCCTGATATCCACACGGTGTCGTTGGTTTCTCCAAGCCTCGAATTTTTTTTTTTTTTTTTTAAGATTTTTTGGATTTTTCATTGGCTCCGAGCTCCCTGGCTGCTCAGCACATCTGTCTCCTCTGTTTGATATTGGCGTGACATTGGACTTCCACTCACCGGCACCGCCAGTTTAATTTTATTAACGAAAAGGGACCCACTGGGACCCACTACCGTTGCAGAACGTCGGTGAGATTAAAAAGCCAATTTCTTTGTTGAAGTTTTGGTCATAAATATATGCCTACAAGCAGTAAATCCATTTATCTTGAACTCGACGAGCCAACATTGTTAACATGCGGACATGGTCGTACGATATTCCAGGAATCATTCATAGGCTTTTTCTATTCGAAATAGTTTGTTCAAAATCAAAGTCCTCAGAGTTCACCTCCCAAAGAGCTCTTAAACCGTCTAATGGGGAAAAAGTTCCATGAGATGGACGTCACTTGACGTCAAGGAGTGGTCTGAAAATTTTAAGTGTTTTCTAAAGTGCATTAATTGGGATTTTCCCTCCTAACTTAAGCTTTGCTGGGCTTGTTTTTGCTTTCTGATGGCTAGTAGGGCCTAAGTCACTGTAGGGAAGAGTTACTAGATTCCGTGTATGGGATTTCTTTCCTCTAATGCACCCACTGTAGAATTCAAGGGGAATCAGAGATCCCAATGGTGATGATAAGGTTTAATCGTGTATACGGGAGTGCTCTTGTCGGCCCAGCTAGAAGTAGCCATCTTTTTCATGACGGGATTCAACTATATGTTGAAATCCCTAAAAATGACGTCACAAGTCGACGTGCCGGCCGCCGAGCAGACTATTCACAATAAGCATGCGAGGTCTGCATGCACTACGGACGACTATTTCCTGGGCAGCACGACATTCAGAAGCGCTATACTGATAACACTGGATGCCAAGCTTCTCAGGAAACAGTTATGCAATTTGCGTGGGCGTCTCATACCGTGAGCAATTGTTGCAGTTAAAAGAAATTTAGAATGTGAAGTAGTCGACCACAGTGGCTTTGCATCCCTGTACCATATACACTTATGGGAAGTTTGCTGTATATCACTGTTGGATCCAAACTTTACAATTTTATTTTAAGCATCCAGATGCACATATCTAAGACCACACACATAATTTGCGCATGTATCCACAAATAACTGTATTTTGATCTAATACACTTTTTTCTGTATCGAGAAATTTAGAAGACAGCTTTATACTTATGTTTTGAAGTTTCAAGTCTTTGTACAAAGTTTTTAAAGAATCAACTACTTGGCAGCTTTAAGAAGATAGTTTTAGTGATGAGAATCTCTGTACCAAGTTTTTGAAGAACTGAACTGCACTCCTGAAGAAGACAGTCATATTACCTAAAGAAAAAATTCTCACATAAAATTACGATGTTTTTGAAATTGCTACGGATTTCATGCTATATTGAAATATTTCGCTTGAACTAGGAAAACGATTGTGTGTGTTTAAAGGGCAGCCACGATGACTGTTAGTTCTATTTATTCAATTTCAAAGGGCGGGAAAGGGTCGCAGTTCTACCAGAACCCATTTGTGGCACAAATATAGGAATAACCACCCCAAAATAGTTCAAATTTTTCTTTTGTTAAGATGGCCAACTAATAATGGTATTGATTGCAGATTGTGTCATTTTAATCAGTAGCGTTTAACATGAAGTAATGTGATGCTCTAACCAGCCATCTGCTAAACGTAAATGCAGGTATATTGGTCATTTTGACCAAAAGTTGGCTAGACATATTGCCCAATAGAATCTGTCTTGTATTGGCCACCTTATCCATTTTGTGATAGCAAAACAACTAGCAATATTGAGTACAAACAATGGCGTGAAATCGAGCAAACCAAGAATAAAAGAACATCTTTTATTGAAAAAATTAAAAATACACATCTTTGGTGTATCTGATGCACATTACTTGTACACGCTTTCAATGTTGTATATGAGTGCATGTACATGCATGTGTGGAATTCGATAGCCTTTCTATTTACACGCTCTGCCAAATATCATGAAAAGTAGTATTGCCAAACATCATGAAAATTGGAACATCCCAGATGTGTACTTATTCAATAAAATTTCTCGAAATGTTCATTAAGGCAGGCCCTGTGTAATAGCAAGTACAAGAATATGATCCCAATTGAAGAAGCAAAGAAACTGTTCCATCTTGTTTTGTCACTGAAATTTGCATAAACAGTTTATTCATATTTCAAAAAAGTACACAGTTCAACATATGATAAACCTAACCCCAGAAGTCAGCGGTGGTTCCTTTAGTCATCCTTATGGTATTTCATGTCTTGAACTTCGCTGTTATGTTGTTATAATTAACCTTGAATTGGTTGAATTTTTTTCAGTAAATGATTTGTTAAAAACGGTAACCACAGGTATCGTGGTCATTGGGGTTAACCAGAATGTCGGTTAGACATATTGCCCACGAAAGCCTTTTTTTATATTTCAAGATGTATTTCAAGATGTATTTTGCGTTGGAGAGATGTTAATTTATGACGTGTTTTGCCCTTACGCAACGTATGCATACGTATGTATATTTTTATATTAATTATTTCATGCATTTTGTTTTTAGACTGTACGTGTGACTAACAAGTTGATAAAAACTAGCAAAGATGTGCAGCGGAACAAACCCGAGAATAAAAGACATCTTGCGTTTTGGGTGGGATTCGAACCACAAAATCTTGTGAATTGGGAACCATTTCAAAACAAGGTTTTTTTTAAACTTGTGTACCTTGTATTGTTTCATATTAACCAAATGTATGTACATGTAGGTGCCCCAGTACATATAGCCACAATTCTAAAATAAATACCAATCAGTTGTCATCCAGCTAAACAAAACATGGCACTACTATAATGCCACCAATCGAATGTAGTGTTTTAGCGCTAAATTGTTCGCTTTGTCCGGTAGCCACATTCGATACTCAGAAGATGGTATGTACTTGACTGAATGCTACGTGTCCAACGGGAATTTTCTTTTTCTCCTTTCTCCAGAAAATTACATCAATCGCTAGAGGCTTCCTGTAGTTCGCCTGCATTGTTTATATTGATTTAAGCTTATAAGCTGTATTCAGTTGTGAGCATGCATATTCAGTGGAGGCTTTACTACATGCGTTGCATGGTTTCTGTGTTTTGTTGCTTTTTCAGGAATTAAAGTTTATTCTGAAGTTTTCAACACAATGTATATTTCTTTTCAGGTGGGATGTGCATGGATAAGTTTGATTTATTTCGAATTATTGTTGCATGGGGTGTGTATGTATTTAAAGAGGGCACAGCTGGTTTTGGTTGGTTGTGAACATGGTTTTAACATATAGATGTATGGTTATGTTTTGTATTTTTTATCGTATTTTGAGTTTTTTAAGCTTTGAGTTTATGCTTTACTTTTATATAAAAGTTTACGATTTACTTATTTATTTTCTTCAAAACCATGTAAACTTCGGTTTTCATTGAATTGAAGGTGAATTTCAGTGATTGATTTAATGATGATATATAGGACACTATTCAAAAATAAATCTAGTTCATCACAAACAAACTTCTATTCTATAAGGCTAGTCTAGGTGAGACCTTCGTACCTATTGCACTTCGACATACGCTGCACATTGTTCCATTGAATTCTTTTCTGCCAGTTCTAGCAGAAAGCTGGCATGAAATTTTTGCATCATAAAACAGTGTACATAGCTGAGACCATTACGGGTCGGGGCATGTTACCATTTTACTGATTGGTTTTTATACCCAATAATGTAGGCTAATTGAACACTAACATTCCCACATATATGATTACACACACACCCTACAGGGTTAGGGTTAATATGGCTCGATCACAAGTTTAGTTTGGCCATGTTGCTGACTCCTAAATGTTTCCCCAAAACTGCGATCATGATCCATGCCTTCACCATTTTGATACAGTTCAGCTGCAAACTATGTCTCAATGTTATTGTAGTAAGTGTGCTCCGTTCAGTTGTGTGGGTGCATTGGAGCATACGACTGGGGACTAGCTACGTCTCTGTAAAAATCATCTCTAGAATTAAGCGCGTTCCTAAGTTTACTCAGTGCATGAGATGGATGACTGAAATGTGTATTCTGTATATTAACGTGCAGCCATGGACTTTTCGAATTTCTTTGTGGTGTTGGTCGTCGTAATCCTTGCGGTCATTGGACCTCAACCTTGGCCCGCCAAGTCTCTTGACCAAACAAGAAGTGGTAAGGTTGTATTTTAATCCTTCATTAAAGCTGTTTTGCAAGCAGGAAGAATAATGAACGCCCTTTTCGTATTAAATTTTTCTCCAATGTCTTAAACTTATTTTTTTCCTTCCCTAGGTATTCTCATGATTAGCATTTGCAGCAAGTTAAGGCTGGTTCATAGTCTACTTCAGGCGAAAGCGAAACGTTGGACAAACTGGAAATTTACAGCGAAATTTTGCCCGAGTTGAAATGTGTTCAACGTCTACGAATTCATTTGATCTGCCCCGACAATACGCGTTCGTTTTCTTTTTCGCGTAAAGTATGAACCGGCCTTTAGTTTTGATCATAGGATACCTATGAGGGGCAAAACTTTCTCCAGTAGATATTTCTTTACTCTAGACAGACGTTTGTTGGGTCAAGTCTATAATTTTTTTTGCAGAGACGTACGAAGCACCGATGCGAGTGACTAAAAAGACGGTTTACCTACAGAGTGGCCGTGCCTACCACCTGTCATGTCCAGCCCTATCACAAGGCAATACCGTGTCAGTCATCAGCTGGTACCGAGGACAGAGTTGGGATGTTTCCTCGCGAAAAAACATTCTCTGGCGCATTTATCGCGGTGATGGCCAGAACTCTACAGACGGAGACCGATACCAGATTTCACCAGTCTACGGAATCATAATTGATCCAGTGTATGTGAATTACACTGGTAGGTACTGGTGTAGAGTGATGTGTTATAGTTCTACCGCCACAATCTCCGAAGACTATCTGGATGTTTTTGTATTAGGTAAATTTAATATTCCCTTTGTGTAAGCTATTTTTCTTAATTAATACTCCGGTTGCGTGACATTTGGGGTGTAATGAGAATTTGCATCCCCCCTTAATTAACATATACATGTACTTAACTTTGCTATACACCATATGTTTAGGCCTACGCTGGATTGTGCAAATTCTTGCGTAAACGGATATGATCCCTTAGCTTTTTTCAGGAAGGATGAGATGTTGCAGTTGAAGAGTCTAATCCCTCAATTTTTGTAGTGTCAACGCAGTTGCTGGATTAAACCCCAAATTGGACACAGATCTAACATGCGTGGTGCAATTGAGCTTGGAAGTCCAAACCTCTACGATAGTTATTTATTTTGGAGGACTAAGTATGGTGTACTCGCTTCTGCACAGTTGTGCACAATACTAAACTTGCTTGACAGACACTTTGCAACCAGATCTCACTGTGCAATTCTTTCTCGTCGCGCCGCCTCGACTAGGCCTATCTCTGACTTTTGATCGCTTGACATTTATGCCTTTGGTCAGTTGGTCAGCTCTGTATTGCTCATTACATGCAATTACGTTTTATTCAGTGCCTTATTTAATGCCAAACACGTCCGAAAAGGTTGTCTTGCAAAGCCTCTAATTCCATGGCGTCTGATAAGGGCAGCACATTTATTTCGCTGACGTGTGTGTCTTTGTGGTATGATGATGTATTGTTGATTAGTACATGTATTAAATATTCACAAACGTTCGGGCCAAACATCGATAAGAAATTGAAGCAAACTGGAACAGCAATCATCTCTATCATCGGTTACAGTTCCAGCACTACTATCCTTCTGGGGATTTAAGAGTTCTTTAAATGACAGCCGTTTCCTGGAAAAAATTTCCATTTTGCCACCGGTGACTCAAAACCTTGCTACAACACCAGTCATCTAAACATACCACGTTAACAATACTTGTTACTCTGTCGAAATTGCAGTCATACAGCATTTAAGATCCTGTCTCTATTGTCTTAACTTGCCTTTCCTGCTAACCCGTGTAACCATGTGACACCGCTGTGGATAACTATCTGATATCCTTGAAATATTCTGATTTCGTTAGCGGTGTTATAAAGAAATAACGACCGACGGTCATTAGTTTCGGTATGAATTTGATTCTCTGCAGAAAAGACATTTCCTGATAACGAGTCGATCGTTAATGAGACGGCCACATCGATGGACATCCAGGGTCGTAACACGATCAACTGCTCACTTCTGCCTCAGCTGCAAACCCCGACAGACTTAATAACAGTGTACTGGACAATCAAAACATCAGATGGTCCAAGTCTGGACATCATTGTCGCCAAGTTTCCTGATGGAGTGATCAAGTCAGCTCTGGAATATGATCAGACACATAGCCTGACTGACAAGGATGTGTTAAAAGTGCATAGATTCTCCAAACGACAAGAGACGTACTGCTGCCATGTGTTTGAACAAGGAAGGGACCTAAAGACAGCTTGTGTTGATGTAACTTGGTTGGGTGAGTGTCATAAATCCTCAACTGTTATGAGATTGACGCCTGGCAGAACACTGAAATATAGTTTCTGAAAACATTTGGTGCGAAAAAAGCCTTATCCACCGGAGTATCAAACAACTAACTCGGCATCAACAAAGTGGATAGAACCCTCCCATACCCCTAATAAACTACTTGCCCGAATGCTTAATTAAAATAGAGTAAATATTCTGAGGGCTAATTTTGTTTGGACAAACTTTAAGTGCAGCTACCTAACATAATGATACAGATTTCCTTTTTTTTTAACATTGTACACGTATCCACCCAGTTGTATTGCTCAAGAGACATTATTGTTACACCTGCACTTTGGGCTCACAACTGAACATTTCCTAAACCATTCCAGCTCCCTTGGGAGTACACTAGCCTGATGTAGCCCTATCAAGCGCACACAGCTAACATAATCATATCTGCCTTTCACAGGTACCCATTTACTCCTGGGTGGAGAGAGGCACATGGGGGTAAAGTGACTTTCCCAAGATGGCAACAAGCTACCACCAGCTGGATTCGAACCCCTGACCCTATGATCAAAAGCTGCAAACCCTAACCACCATGCCCCGCAAAGTTTCCTTCCTTCATGCGGCACTTTTAGTAGTACTTTAATTATTTCACTTTTACAATGTGAAGTTGAACTTACTTCAATTACAGCTCTGGCGACCGAGAAGTGTCCAGCCATCGAAGGTTTTGAGCCAACAAATGATGACTGTGCTGTTAATGTGGCACCGCATGAAAAGTATCAGAGATTTGATTGCTCTATAAGTGCGGTCTACCCAAAGCCAGCCCTCAACTGGTCCTTCTCAGACTGTATGGGGACCCCAACATTCTTCACAAAATCAATAACCACCGAGAACCAGACCACTAAAACTTTGAGCGTGAAGTCCTCAATTTACATTGTCGATTTCGAGCCATCACTATATGGTTGTCGTTTCAAGTGTACCGCCGGTGGTCAGGCCATTACAGATCAAACAAGCTCATCTGTTGTTACTTTTAGTGTTACAAGTGAGTCTTTATTTCTGACAATGATCTTTTCCTTAAAGCGCAACTCCATTGGTGAAAGAAATAAGAAATCTGCCACTAGTATGTGTACTTGGAACTATGGGTCACATAAACCCGGATTTAGCAATATTTTTGGTTAAATAAACTCACTTTTGAGACCCGTTTCTGCCGAGCGCCATGGCTAGCTTTCGCGAATGAAGCTTGTCGTCATCGCTCATTTACATCTCATGAATACGGCTTTTTCAGAGTTTTGTCCACGTAGCACCGTGGAAACGGTTCTCCGGCTGGTGCATGTACGCACTGAGCCGGCGCACTCGGGTCAATGCAATTACACGTGGTGGTGTAACGCGCGTGTAGCTACAATTGCATGCATACTGTCCTTGAGTCCGAGGCGCAGAGTCTTACTCTTCGAACCAATCGTGTCAACCAGAACGCGCACCAACGGGATCCTGATTGGGCTGACGATGGGGCCACTGCTGGTGAACGAGGCTGTGAAGGAGATCAAGATCGTTTGATAATAACGGCTTGGTACGTTCAGAATAAAGGACAGATGTTTTGAATGTTTTTATGTTGTTATTTTATTCAAAAAAAGTGCATGCCAGGCTAGGCCGTGCAGCTCAGGCTTGCAGAGCTTTGTACGAAAACATATCCACGAAACCAGGTCATGTCAGGTCATGACGTTTTTCGTTTCCACGGTGGTACGTCATCAAAAGGCATTTCTGCGTGGCGCCATCAACGCTACAAACGAGGAAAGTTTTTGTAAAACCCGCCGAATTGGTCCATATTTGTATCTCACTATTATTATTTATATGAGTAAAAACGATTGCGGTTACACCATGGATCAATCTCTTTCTTGAGTATGTGTGGTTCTGAGAAGAACCAGGGAATAACTTGACGTTTCGAACGGTGTACTCTGTCCGTCTTTAGGAGACTGCGGGATTCCAACTGGGAGTGGAGCTTATATGGCGTAGAGGTGGATGTGCTGGATGATGTCTTCAATGAGTGATGATTGGGGAACTAGGGCAAAGTTCATGCCTCGTGACAGAACTTTGGTCTCGTCTGCGGAGAGGGCGCGCTGACTCATGTTGACCACGGTGTGACTGCTGAGGGATTCCTTGGAGCGGAGATGGGGCTTTGTTTGGTACCGGTTGGAAGATACAGAACATCTCATTGGACTGAAGGGTTGGGGCAAAGAGATATAGAACATCCCATGGCCGGGTCAAGGGCTGTAGGGATATAGGAGATCCCATTGCCAGGATGGGGGTGGGGCTGGAACCGCTGCGGGCCTTGTGCTTGGAGATCTTGAAAAATCTGGATCCCTCTCAACACCATAGAAGCTCCACTCCCACTCAGAATCCCGCAGTCTCCTGGGGTTGCTTTTAAGTTGACTGCCCATTAAGTTCATGTTGCGTTAAATTATTTTGATTTTGCAAGAATCCAAAAGGTACAACAAAAACTCAGAAGTTTCTGAATTTGTTGAACCAAGAAAAAAGGTTTGATGAAAGATCAACACTCTTAATGAAAAAAAGACTAAATATTCTCTTAATTCTAAGGAGTGAAAATTCAATCTTTTCGACTGAAAATGCACCCCTGCAGTCGACAACTAGGGACCCTATGTTTTGGCAATAAAAATTCTTCTATCAAAAGGATAGAATTTTCACTCGAGCTTCGACTGAAGTAATTTTTTCTTCAGAGTATTTCAATCCAAATTGAGAGTAATTTTCACTTTTGATTGTCTTGTCTCTAGTTTCACACTTTTTTCGACTTAAAGAGTAAACCCATATCTCGCAGCGCACTTGGAATACTGCAGACCAAAAAATCAAAACCAAACACTTTTAAACAAATTACAAACTATGGAGGGCCTGACTTTTCGATCCTACAAGCATCTTTGAAAAATCTTGAGAAAGATTGTAGGTCATTGTGGTCAGCAAGCAGTTTGCAGCAGTTTTGTACTACATACACTTTTTAATCAAACATAGTGGTTGTTTTTTATTTCAGGTGGCACAGAAGCTCCGACCCTTTCACCTGTCTCTCCTAATGAGAATTCCTGCATTTGCGACTGCTCTTTTGTGGTAGCAGTGATTTTAGTGCTTTTCGTCGTCCTGTTGATTTATCCCAAAAGCAATGCGTTTATTCAACGCATATTAGATAAGATCCGAACAGCTGGTCGCTGTATTTTTCAAAAGGTCCGTATGCACTGTCGTGTAGACGAAGGAATAACTCAAGGTAAATCCTGGTTTAATCAGAGTTGTAGTCGAGTACTTGTTTCCGAGTACCATGTACTGCCGAGTACTTTGACTGCCGAGTACAAAGATAGGTCGAGTACTTTGCCAGCCGAGTACATGTACTGGTTTCCGAGTACAATTACTTGCACTTCCGAGTACAAGTACAAGTACTTCTAAATCCGAGTACGAGTAGAAGTACTTCTAATACTTTTGTGTTATATGAATTAAACCGTTTAATTCGTTTAACACAAAAGTATGCAGTTGCAATTTCTTTAAAGGAATTTTGCCTTATCATTGCTTTCTAATACTTAGGAAACAGCTTGGAGGTTAGTCTTTGGAAGATATTGTGGATTTCGAGAATTTCTGCACTCTAAAGACAGTAGAGAAAGACGAATAAACTTTCCCTTCTGTATCAGTGAATGGGAATTGTAAGGCCAGATTGATACACGTTCAAATTATAGTTCGTTTCAGTGCTAAAAGAGGAGCATTTCTTATAGATAAAGTCGAAATCAAAAGACTACATTGAACTTCTTGTGTCTGAGAAACTACTTTTGAATACTTCAACACATGGACATCAGTCTGGGATGGATGACAACAAACATTATTATGGTACTCACGCGCAGAAATATCTTTTCTGATGCTTGGGAAGTATACACAGCCTATATAATGTGTGTTTCTGAATTGCTCATGTACGAATTATAAAGGTACGGCAAAATAGTGACATTTATAATGCGTCTCTTTATTAACAGAGGAGGAATATCAGGCTGGTGGGGGAAATCATACAACAGGTTTGTCTTTTTGATGTTCAAAAGATATTTATCTCATGTCGTTAAATCTGTCGTTTTGATGAGTACCTGTTGTTTATGACCAGTGACTATTTAATTAATTTCAAGTTCAAAGAGCTGAACAATTTTTTCCTACTAATTTGGAATTGATTTGATCTAAGAAGTATGGAATATGCAAGTGGTAATGAGCAATCTCAGTCCTTAACTGTAGTCACTTTTTTGTAACATGTACAGGTAAGGACTAGGTGTAGTTTTACAATATTGTTGATTTCTAGAACTCCACAATACGTGAAATGGAGGAAGACGTGTAAACTTTCTCGTATCAGTTTAGGCAACTCTTTTAGTTTCGTTTGAATGCTGAAAGGGGCTCTTTGTTACACCTGCAAAGTAACAGCTAAATGATTACTTTGAACTTTTGATATCTGAATGATAATTTCAAAATGATTTGAGGAATAGTGTAACATACATAAGAAACTTTAAACAGAAAACTGCACAAATGAAATGTACAATTACGCAAAAATACCTTTTATGAAGCATGCTTAGAAAGTAGATATTGGCCTATTAATGTATGTTGTTAACTGCTTAAGTACGAAAATACACAGATGCATTAAACAGAAGACATTTATCATTTGTCATTGTATTAACAGTGGATATACACCTAGAAGATGCGGAAACCGATGACGCCAGTATAGCAGGTTTGGTTAATAGTTTGGTGATCAACAGACTCTAGAACAAATGCTTTCCTTCAATTTCTAAACTGTCATTAAATCTGTCGTTTCAGTCGGTAATTGTTCGACGGCCACTTGATATTTGATTAATGTATAAAGAGGTGAATTTCAATGTGCAACTGATTCATTAAAAGGTTGATCTATAAACTCAATTTCCAATTACATAGTTACAAACTTTTTTTGCACGTCTGAAAGAGTTTAATCATATAAATTGGTATATATCTGTGCATAATTGTAGTCAAAAACTTTTTCTTTCCAGAATTTATAGTTAAGCTTTAAATCAAGCGTGGTTGTCTAGACCCCTCCCCAAATAGCAGGCTCTTCGTTACACCTGCAAAGTGATAGCTAAATGATCACTTTGAAGTTTTAGTATCTGAATGATAATTTCGGTGAATTTGGGAATTAATGTCACAGACAAAAGACACTTTAGAAAAAAGGAATACGTGACAAATGAACGCAAGCGTGTTCATGTTACCAAACACGCCAGATACCTTTGCTGAAGTAACCTCAGAGAGTATGTTTCTTAACTGCTCATGCACAGAAAAACAAAGGTACAGCAAATAAATGACATTAATCATTTCTACGTTTTGTAAATAGAGGAAGAGTTCCAAGTGGATGGGGGAAAGACGAACGCCATTATGACAGGTTTGGGTAATAGTTGATGTTCAAACGATCTTAAACACATACTTTCCATCAGATTCCTAGCTTTCTTTAAATCTGTCCTTTCAGTCAGTACTTGTTATTTAAGACCATTGACTGTAAGTCGATAAGATGACAGTTTGATAAAAAAAGTCCCCTGGGCAATTTTTTCCCCATATTTATCTTTTTTACTTTTTCCGTTACATCTATGGATTGTATTTGATGGCGATGAGAGGAATATTGTGAATTTGTCTTTTCTGTAAATATTTCGAAGAGTTTAATTGATGGGTCATCAAAGACCTGTTTGTATAGTTTCTTTTAAGTGTTGAAAAGAACAGCAGTTGTCTATAGATTCTTAATAACAGCTATTGTGAATCTTTCCTGCAGAAGGAGAACCCATGCTGAGGAAAATCATTCCCTCTGGCAGCGTCGTGCACACAACAAAAGGTAAACCATCTCCAATTGCTGAAAACGTAATTCAGTTTAGTACTCTGTGGCTTACAAAAAGCATTATGTCCCTTAATTTTGTACACGTAATAAACACAGAAACCGGAAAATATCAACTCGAACAATGGGCGTTAATCCAGGGGAATTCATGGAAGTATAATTATGCCCCCCACTTTTTCAGGTGAGGGGGGGCATAGAATCCCCCCCCCCCGACACATCTTGTGGAGAGCAAATATTTAAAGCGGATTGTGAAGAATTTTTCACGCTTCCGGCGACTTGCGTTCAGTAGCACTTGAAGGGAAAACAATAAAGCCATAAATATGCCAGTTGGAATACACATTAAATTGGCATGTCGAGGCAAGTCACCCCCCCCCACACGCACACACCTTTCCCTATCCCCCAATTTACGCCACTGATTCGAACATTATTACGGTACCAAAAAATGTCAAAATATCTTTTCTCTGATTCATACTCAGAAAGAGGTAAGTCATCAGTGTATGCATCTCTCGACAGCTTGTGATCAAACTCTTGTTAAGTTGAATATCAAGAAAATAAACACGTTGTGATGCATGTGATCTAACCATGGTGTATTATTGAGGTCATCGACATTTATTATGTATGCAATTTAGCGATTGGTTGGGAAAAATTAAAGAACAAGTTATAACGCTGCTGCAAGATTCCCAAGACGTTAGTGTGAGCTGGCGCACAGTCTAATTATGAGTCGTTAGGGGGTGCACTATGCACGGTGTCCGCTATCAAGCACTAACGTCTTGAAACCAAGACTAGCTGTTGTTAAATGTGCGTTTAATTAAGACCTGCTCAGGAGAATGGACGAGACATATAGGGGGAATTCTGAGGTATATTTGGAAAAGGAGTATAAAATGGACGGGGCTGTTCGGAAAAATGAAAAGTGAAATGCGGCTCGGACTTCAGTCGCATCCATTCTCCTAAGCCTGCCTTAATCGCACGTTTAAGACCGGCCAAGCACCCCTTTATTCCTTTACAAATTATGTGTCTTTTTATTAACCCTGCCTACAAGCAATATCTACTCCATTTTGGAGAGCCGTTTTGCTAATTACTTGATTAAAAAAACACGGCCAACTATCAAAGCCTTCCATGATATCCTCCCTCTGTTTATGCTGAAAAACCTGGTTTAGTCGCTGTATACGCAGGGGCTTCCCTTTAGCCATGGAAACAAAATATTCGAGCCAGTCCCTGAGTGAGGCCCATTGAACTGTGTTCAAACATCTTCCAGATGTGAGTCCCAAGCGATTGTTTACATCAGGCCTGCACTTATCAATGGGATGCCCTCCAAGGACCCTTTCAATGGGGTCGGGCCCCTTTGATGTTTGTGGCTTGGGCTGACACATGTCACATTAACCAAATCAACTCTGCTTATAACCAGTCTTCTTCATCTTCAGTTGCACCCCCACCCACCCCCGCACCTAAAAAAATCCAATGCCATTTCTTTTCTTTGGGAGTGTGGAGGATATCCAAGTAGCAACTTTGAACCATTTACCACAGAGTTTGGGTCAAAACAAATACAATTCACACAGTATCACAATGAAATCAGAGGAAACAATGCCGTGTAGGGTTCAGATGAAATATGCATGTTGGATGAGGGAAATGAGTACGTCGGTATGCCAGGTCAGGTTGATACATGTATTTGTTTGTTAAAAGTTAGATGTCATTTACAATTCACTATATTTTTTCTGTCAGATTCCTTGCTGGAAGTGAATTTGTCCTTTCATTGAGTACCTACTATTTTTAACCACTCATTTATAAAAGGTTACTGATATTAACTTGAAATTAATGTCTCTTGTAACTATTCTGGACTCTGAATTAAAGGAGACGTTCAAGGGAACCCTTAATCTGAGGCTGCACAGAACAAGAGAAGTGTGAATATTCGAGGATCAAAAACGTTATCTGCATGTACATTAGTGACGCAGGAGTCATTGATGTGACGGGCTGGAGATACTTAAGACGCTTGAGCCTAAAAAGGCGCAATCCAGGACGTTATTATCTTTTAACAATGTGGAATAAGATCACCCAGCGTTTTAGCAAAAGTTCTGTTTTTCTAATTACTTTGTTCTGCTTTTGTTTTGACTTTTTTTCTCATTTATGTTTCTCTATGCATTTTGTTTCATTAATTCACTTCAAGTAAAAGTAGTAGAGTGAAAGCATTACTATGGCAGTAACGATACAACCCGGAAGTATCTAGAGCATGTCATAGTGTATTCTGTGATTCAGTTGTAGCTTACTTCTGTGTTTTTGTTGAATTACATTACTATATATAACTTACGCAAAACTGAGAAATTGAGAATTGAAAAGATGCTTGGAATTATGAAGTGACTCTTTATTTCTGTATTTTCCGACAATGTGGAGGGCGCAGGGCACAGAGGTCTTAATCCTCGCTATTTACATGTGTTAAAAAGCAATCTCTGACGTGCATGCTGATCTAGTGATATTCGCGCAGGCATATTCGCAATCAAGCAGTGTGCACTTTCATGTCTTGAATGAAAATTAAAATAATGAGGGGTACACGAAAACGTGTATTGGTCATGCTCGGAACTGTGGCCCAGTTTGATTCTGCAAATATAAGCCTACTTAGCAATTTCCTTCAAACTTTATATGCAGCCTGGCCCCCAACAATTAAGTTCTGCTTGTCTCGCACCATGTTGAAATACGAAACCACCAAGCTTTAACATCTAGCCGCCAAGCTAAAACGTTTGACTGCACTAGGTATATGTAAATTCAATACTGCAACCTACACAATATCTTAACGAACATTACTGTCTACAAATATCAATATTAAAATGCTTTCATTAACACTAACCTAAGTCCAGTGAAGGCAAAAACGGAAAACTAATAAATCGGAAAGGCCATAACTTTTGCTTTAAAAAACACCGAGGCCTCGACCCCAAACTACATGTATACCCATTTTATTTTTATCACTAGTAAGCGATAATTTAAACAAGTAGAACAAAGGAGTGTCAAATTGTTTTGATATCTGCAGTGTCACTTTCGATTTATTAGTCAGTTGCAGCAATGCAAATCAATTCATTTTGCTTGCATTCGCTGCACTCGGGCATTGATCAAACAAGTTTCTGGACCAAGATGGAGGTTATGTGGGTGTTGATTATTGTGCTTTCAGGACAGGTGCTAGGTAAGCACTTTTTTAATTGCGCTTACTAAGTACTGATGCTTTTGAGCTGAGGAACTTTATTACTTTGTCTACATGCATGTGCTGCAACCTAGTATTATTTTGCCATTATCAGAAAAAAACAAGCATGATCTCCAAAGCAAGCCGCACTATTTGCGCGCACTCTGTGTGACAAAATACTGGCCCACAAGATACATGGCAGCCATGGAAACCCGTTGGGTTGGGAATTCTCACCCAATGGATGGTGGGAAGCATAGCACTATGATTACAGTAATCCTTCTGTAAGTCGATTTGTCTAGTTAAATAATTCCAAGAATTCAGGTCCATTGAAGTGTTTATTGCTTTGCACATAACTGTTTATTAGCATGGCTTATAACAACTGTACAAAAACTCCTTACTTAGTGTTTCATTTAATGTATTACTGATGTGTTCAGTCTAGAATGGACCAAATATTTTAGCCTATGCATTAAGCAAATTTACAATATGTCCCTAGGTACTAATAAAAACAATGTACAAATGTCTGCCCACAAAAGTAGTTTGCTTCCTTTTGAGGGGCAGTAGGAATAGCATTAGGTGACCTGAGGTTGCATATCGAACAAAGGTATCAAGCATATGCAAAGATGTGTTTTGAAGGGTCAAAATCCTTGATTGTTATATTGAAACTTTGTCCAATGTTATTCATGTGCATACTGTTGTTTGTTTACTGAATATTGGATTCTTTGTATTACTCATGACATTTCTAACTGGAACACACAACTAGAAGTGTATCTGATGTCCATTGGCTCTTATTGTGTGAAATCTGTGGAGATAGACACTGGACAGCAAAAGAAACTAGCCACTCCTGTCAAAAGCCACACACACACACACACACAGCCATTCAGTAACCAAGTTGCTGGGCATGTCAATTTCTTCTTTGTTATAAAGATAATCACTTGTTTTGGGGCATGTGATTAGTAAGGGGTATTGCAGCATACCTGTGTACAAAAATTGTTTATTTCTATGGAGTGAATTTTTACGTGTGGCCTTTGACAGAAGTGGCAAGTTTCTTTTGCTGCCCAGTTTAGAATGATTTTAGTGTAGAAATGATTTAGTGCAGAAAACCTTTGAAATTTTAGGGAAAGCTTGTTTTCCTATCTTTGATAACAGTTGTGTCTGATATTATATTCAGGTTTAATCTTTGCTGATGAAATGTTTCAAACACGATCACCCTACTGTACATACTGAATGTAAACTTTAAACAGAAACTGATACACAATAAAGGCCACCACTGGGACAGAATACAGCGGGCAAAGTCCTTTCACTTTCAAAGTTGACCTGTTTAACATCATTATTCAAATCACTGGCACAACCTTGATTCACCGGTTTCATTGGATTCGTGAACATACTTGTGGCACGTAGGAAATAATGTAATTTGTAGGTTCACTCTTTAAGATGCATTGAATTTTGATGAGTGAACACACAAATTTTTAGCCCTCGTGTGTTTTCCCCTAGAAGAGCCGGGACGGAATCCGACTTCCTTGCCATTTTCTTCGATATCACCGTAGTAAATTTTCTTCAGGAGTTGAGCATTTAGCTTTAGAGTAACCTTTGCGGTCATTTTGACATCAGTGTTGTGAAATCGAGCATGCTGTTTTTGGTCACCACGCATTCTTTTTCCGAGTCAGGTCTGTATACTTTTGCCCTCCGCGGTACTCGATACTCGCGTGTATTGGCACCAATTAAGAAGCCATGAAATTCAAATGACTTTAACAGCAGAACCATGCGTCTGACTGATTTCAAACTTCACATTTCGCAATGATAAGAAATATCTTTACAAATTACACGTATGCTAACTATAAAAAAAATCGAAAGTGGTACCGCCGAGTTTTCGTGGGGGGCGGAATCAGCCCCCCCCTCCGTGGGCCCATGCGACGGGCCGAAATAACCCAGTTCATTTAGGGTTACTAGTTTGACAGGTTTCTTTTTGCAGGTTTTAGTGCATACTGTTATTTCATTAAAAACATACACGCAGCAGAATTCATGCAGGCTTACGTCGGAAATTTCCGTAAATAATTATTTGGATGATTAAATCCCCCACGCAGCCCGTTATGAAGACGTTATATTAACCCAGCATCCCTCACCGGTCACGGTGGGTCAGCCGGTGGTATTCAGGTGTAATGCAACCTGCTTTCCCCTCGCTTTCTCCATCCAATGGTATCTTGATCCTCCTGTGCCTCACCGGAGCGGTTCTTTGACTTCCTCCCCAAGCCTGCGTCATCCTTACTGCTTTGATTTCATCAAGGACATATTTTTATCTCCAACAAGAAACCACACTGGCCTGGTAGCCACGTGTGTGGCAGCCAGTCCTGATACGGTAATAACCATGAATGCAGCATTGGACATGCAAGGTAATAATTCATCTATAACATTTACTGTGTTGCCGATTCCCTTTTTTACTCACTGCCAGAACACGCACAGAATACGAAGATAGGGAGAAACATTCCCTTGGTATATATTATGAGAATTTCTTAAATTCCGACATCCTTTAATCTGTCAATGTTTACTAAACGATGGCGGGACAAAGCGGATGGGCCTGCTTTGAGACCATCAGGCAGCAGCCATTAACAGACCGATTCAGACCTGCTTCAAGTAGAAAAGATGGTGCCCCAGTCGAAAATGCGGAGAGCACTGCCTTCCCCCAAGCCGGTGCATAAGACATATTATTCGCATGTCTTCGCTACATACTCAGTTGCCTGGGTTTTGTTCGTGTAGCCGTTTAGGTAAACTTTTGTGGGACACTGTGACTATGAATTCCAGTCAAGGCACCAAATCATCCCTTTGAGCCAGTCTAGATGACCCAACCCAAACCCTTTGCGATATTATACTAATAGACGGACCATAAAGAATATACAGTCTGGTCCGATCGACTTGTTCATAGCGTCTGGTCTCTGAATTATTGTACAAAATAGGTCCACCGTTGACGAGTACACTGTGTGTGCGGAATTTACAACAGCATGCGTGTTATGTTTGCGAGAACTGTACGAGGAATGTCACCGTGGGGGACAGCTTGGATCTAGAATGCACTGCGGTGGGTTCGAATCCCGTCAGTCACCTGATATGGGACATCGATCATGGTCAGCAACGTTGGAACGTCTCCAAGACACTCAACCAGACGGAGTACTTGGAGGTTTACGACGACGCCTCTTGGAGTTATGATGTAGTCAGCAAAGCCACCGTTGACATACAACGAGGAGAGGGCTTCTTTGGCGTGACGTGCCGCGTCCTGTATCCAGGAGACGCGACTGTTTTCACTGAGAAGTATCTTGGAGTATTCGTCATGCACCAGGGTAATCTTTCTCATTGTGTTCCTGCCATTGCTGGTCATAGTTGTGAAATGGTGATCGAGGCTTTTTCAGCAAAATGCCAGGCGAAAATTAAGCTAACCGACAGAATAGGTCAAAATATCCACAGTATTAAGTGAGTGGCAAATTAGGTATTTCAAACGTCAGTAGACAATCAAATGTTCACACAATAGGATAAAGCCAGAGCAAGAGTCTATCTAGCCACGTCAATATCACAATGGATAATTAAAATGCCAAGGGGGAAATCAAATATCCACATAAAGAAAATTACTATTATAATGTAACCAACTGACCACTGGTGCATAGCTTCACTGAAAGTTACACCAAATACAACATTAGTCATTCAAATATCCCAAGCAAAAGTTTGGTAGCTATACGTTGAAGACTCTAGAAGTTAAGCACAATATGCCGTACCATGATTCCCAACACTGAAGGTTTCGACTGCATATCTGTGTGCAACTTGTGTAAAGCACGAGGGCCTGAGAATGAGAAATAGTTGTGCACCCAGTCGAGGAGTTACTCAACAGCTTAATTGGGACTGGAATGAAGCTTTTATGTACATGCAAATGTACATAGCTAGCCAACGTTGGGCAAATGAGGGAATTCATCTCACGGCTCTCAAAACATCATTAAAGCCTTGTTGTTCTTTTGAACAAAATAGACAATGACAGTGGAGGGAGGGTCGTGGTTTTCGCGTCCAAGCCCATTCGAATCAAAGAATTTCCACTTTTTGTCGTTTCTCCTAAACGTATAGATTTTTTTTTCAAATAGACAGTAATTACCTCACCTGAAGACTCCTGTAAAGAAAAGAAATAGGCCTTAGCAACAATTGGTTTACAATATCTACCATGATTTTCTGATGAAAGTATCATCAAAACCCTGGTGGCAACCCTGCAGGGATAAAAGTCCCCACGTATCACCAAATGTGGTCATAGCGTTTTTTTTCCAATGGGCCAATTTGGCAAAGGTTTCATATAATCCCTCACCCCAGGCATACACCACAAGCCTGTAGACTCCCACTGGCCAGACCCAACCACTGCAGAGTAAGAAAGATCAGTATCCCAAAGACGCGCATAGGACCGCAAAAGGACCTGGTATAGTAAAAAAAAAATCACCTCGTAGTTCGAAGTTATTTTTGGGCCGCGGCTACAAATGTACTTTCACAGCAGAATAATGAAATGTAGATAGAGAGGGAACCTGAGGGATGCATTGGCTACCATAAAACAGTCGTAGAAGTTTAGGCATGGCCGCCCACTCCCTGAACTGATGTCGTGATACTTTTCTTCAAACATCCACTCATTTGAAATCACTAGGCCTTGCAACATTTGATTTCCCTGGTGGACGTTTGGTATTTTTTCTATGTGGATATTTGACCCACCCAGTGGACATCTGATTTACCTATTTGTATACTGTGATACCTAGTGGAAATCTGAATGACCTATTTGGACTCCACGTCATACTCTTGGCATAATATGATCTGTCAATGTTGATGATAACTGTACAAGTGAGGCCTGTTTGACCTGAAACATTATAACATATACAGCATTACACGTACAATGTACGTGCAGGGCCGACCGATTAATGCGCGCCAAATGTGCTTTTCTCTTATACTACATTTTAAAAAGTCTGTCCAGACGCAGCATCTTAAAAGGAATTAGTTTGCTACTAATCACTTTTCACGCAAACCAGTTCAAAACGAAAACACCCACGTAACAAAATGCTGCCCATGGTGTGAGTCTGTTGCGTATTATCGACGCCGTTGTAAAGTGGCGTTTGCCATGGACTAACGGCGATGGTTGGTCCAATCAGAGGCATGTTTCAATTCATATTTCTTTGTGTCATCCAGGATTTTTGAAATCTATCGGGTTTATTGCGTGGACAATCAAACTGGTCGGATGGCGTCGAATGTCCCCTTCCCATCCAATACAAATTTAGCTCTTTACCAAAACTATGAATTGAATCCATAATGCATTTGGTCACATAACAGGGGCAAAGTAATTCTTGATTTTTCTCTCTTAGGACCCGACCTGCTGAATTTGACAAATTACAATTCAGCATTAACCGAAGGCTGGCCCGTTGTATTTACGTGTACGGCAGTCTGCGTCCGAAAGCCCACGTACAAGTACCATTTCAGATGGTACGTGAACGAAATCCTGCGCAAAAGCGAAGAAGACGCTCGCCCAGAGTTTATCCAAGCAGATTGCTACAACTTCTCAGGGACTTTCACCTTCACGCCTGTTCGGACCGATGCTGGAAAGAGGGTGAAGTGTGTGGCGACTAGCGAGATTGGTGTGAACATCGAAAATGCAACTGCACCGCTCGCAGTATCATGTAATAATCACCTGTTAAAATAGGTGTTTTACCATCTGTTCTTATAAATTTCACAGGTCTTCGTCTCTCTCCTTTTCGCTTGCAATGTGTAATTTTTAGGGGGTGGTTTTGAGAAATAAAGCATGCTTTATCTTGTTTTGCTTTGATATTCAGCTGTGTGGGGCTCCACCGCCACATATGATGTTTAAACAGTCTGCCTAACAACTCGAATAATAGTAAATTAATTTGTTATGACGATAAGTAATAATATAAAGGCTTAGGCTTAATACTCAACTGGGAAAGAAACCATGCAGTTACAATTCCCGTAGGTAAATGAGCAATTACATCCACTTCCATTCAGATAAACCAGAGGATACTGCAATCTGTGTGACGTCTGGAAGCACGTGCGATGAATGCATGAACTGCACAAGAAATGTCACCGAGGGGGCAAACCTTGAACTACGCTGCACAGCCGTGGGTTCTAATCCAACCAGTCACTTTGCTTGGGAAGTCAACGGCCGCAACCACGAAGGCCTCTCATCAGTGATATATCATGATCACTTTTCGTCGATGCTCCTGGATAACGAAACCCACAGTTGGTACTCGGTGAGCAAACTCTATTTACATGCTCCGTCAGGCGTGAACTCCATTGACGTCGTGTGCCTCGTCCTCTACCCGGATAGCACCACAACATTTAAAGAGGAGTATGTTCGCATCGTCGTCCAAACCCATCAGGGTAATGGTTATTTTAATGTTTCATTTATGCATACGTCATAATCATAATTTATATTAACGTTGTGCACGTCAGTAGTACATTGTCTTGAAGTAAAACGCTCCTTATTGGTTCTGGCGATAAGTATTCACTGGTTTGTCAACTCGCCGTGCAAACATTACAAATTGTTAACGAGGTTCAAGGAATCGATCCCTCGCGAAACTCTGAACTGATAGAACTCATAGTAATAATGTGCAAGTAAAAAGCAGGCCGAAGTGTAAGTGGCGACGAAACTTTTGCACCTCACTTTTTGTTTTTTCCAATATTAAAACTGCAATTTAAAAATGCACCATTTTATCATGTTATACAAGTCGGACTGAAAGGAAGGAGCTCTTGAACCTCCATAATTACGACTGCAACGGTTTCGAAGTACATGTACATTTAACCTTTTCGTTTCAGCGACTATTGAGACGTACCAGTATTTCCCTTGGAAACTTCTGGCCATTTGTGCCGCGTCTGCTGCCGGTTTCGCACTGGTCATCTGTCTCTGCTCTCTGGTGCTGACAACTACGAAGTTGAGGGCGATAAGACATAAGGAAAAACGGAATACTGAGGCCGGAGCCAGACCAGAAATAGATGTGAGTGCACATGCAGTACTGCAGGCTTCGCTTCTTGTAACAAAAACAACTAGTGCCCATAGAGCATTTTGTCTCCGTGAAGTCTCACAATGCTTCACAATCGTTACTCATGATCGCTGGGCCACTAAATTAATTTCTAACAAAACTTGAGATCAACACAATTTGATAGTGAACAGAGGCAACTAAATGTGGTCAGGTATCTCGGCTACGACAGGCATGCACCATGTGGTACCTGTGGGGAGTCGAGTCAGTGGAACCCACTTGGCAACGTTATATTTTAGTTGAACACCAGAACCCGTACTACGGGACCACTGTGCTTATTAACCCATACCTCTTCGTTTCGGTATTTAATCCTTCCTGAATGTGGTCAGATTTCTGTCCTGGTAACTTTACTGTTATTTTGCAGGAAGTGTCTGTGGGGGATGCCCCTGCTTCTAGTGAAATTGCTGTGCAGGTGCCGGAAACACCGGCACAAGTCGACTGTCCAGATTTCGAGTTCCGAAGGGAGGGAATTCATCTTGAAGAGGTCATCGGCAACGGCTTCTACGGCCAGGTTGTGAAGGCTAAATCCGACGGGATTCTCGAAGGAGAGAGCACCACAGTTGCTGTCAAAATCTTGAAAGGTTTTCACCATTTAAACGAAGCCAATAATAACCGATACGTGATAAACGGACAGCGGGCACATATCCACTCAAGGGCTTTATTTTCAGTATCTGAAGACAGTAACTGTACATTTTTTTTAATGTCATCAACAGCACTTATCTTTTTCAATGTTTATTACATGTGTATTGAAACACTGTTTAATATATATTATAAAGGCAGTAAGTAATCACCCCAACCAGTTTCACTCCAGCAAGTAGAAATTCACAGGAAAAATCTCTTAATCTCTGCTACAGGCCATGCAAGCACCACCGACTTTAAGAATGAGCTGGCCATTTTCAGAGCCCTTGAAAAACACCCATTTGTCGTATCGTTTCTTGGAAGTTGCACAGAAAAAGGTAAGATCTGGGCAGACGTTAATAACATTACCTTTTAGTATTTAAATTAACTAGTAATGTTAACTGGACAACCCCGTCATGTAGTTTGTCCACCTGTACAAACAAATTTCTTTGAAGGGCAATGTTTACATAATTGTTTCGCCTGGTTGTAGAGCCTTTCTACATGATCATGGAATACGTTCCCAATGGTACGCTGGAGGCCTTCATCACACGGAAACGACTGGCATGGACCGAAACACGACTCACTGGATTAATGAAAGAAGCAATGAACCCCCTTCGAATACTGCTGTTCGGTTTCCAAATCGCTAGTGGAATGGAGTACTTGTCCTCTAAACATGTAAGTATCACAGTGGATGATCTCACGACCTGTCCTCTTGAAAACGGGCGATATGATTCACCATACATGAAAGTGAAAATTAAGAGAACAATTTTAGTACAGTGTAATAAACCTTGCAGGCTTGAAAGTAGATCATTTTAAAGAGCTTAACAGGGGTCTGTTCTGACCTGTTCTCGTGTGACCTGCATTCACGGTTACCCCTAATTTGGACTTTGACCCGTGAGGGAGTTTTGATTGTAGAGTCAGGTGCGCAGTGGTTCTTTCCTTGCCTTTCACCCTCGCGGTCCAGGCTCAATCCACTTGGATTGGGTCTCCAGTCTAGCCTGATCCATGAGTTTTACTCGGAATATTCCTCTGCTTGGGGTTTGCCTTGCACCACTAAAACTGTTACTGCTTTTCACTGTCTCCTCTTTACAGGTATCTTCAGGCTTGAGAAACCTTGGTGTCATTATCAGATATAAATAACTCCAGTCATTATTTTTCATCGCCATTTCCTACATTGGCGACCTATTATTGCATGTGCAAGATAGTATAAGTGGGGATGCTCCATATGATTGTTAACTTCTTTACGAAGTATTGAACATACACGTATACACATATTTATATACAGTGTCCTTCCATGAAATTTCAGGCTATTCATAGTGAAGGAAAGTAACAGGTGGAAAGGCTTGCGGTAGCACCATGCGAAGGAATATATCTCTCTATGAGTATGTGTGGTTCTGAAAAAAACCCGTACTCAACGTTTCGGACTACGTGCTCAGTCCGTCGTCAGGAAACTGAAGAGATGCTGAAGATGGAGCTGTATATATACGGTGGCTGGATGCAGCGGGATGTGACGAGGGTCCTGCAGGTCAGCGAGGCGTGTCAGTTGGGCATAGGTAGGGGCAGGGTGAGGGCCAAGGGTATAGGAGACCCATAGGCAGGGTGGGGGTGTCCTACGGTATAGAGGACCCATTGGACTGGGAGGTGAGCAGGGGTTGCCAGATGTCACTGATGGAGAAACCGATGTCTTGGGGAACAGAGTTGTGCTTGAGAATTTCCAAAGCTTCTGTGATGCGCCTTGGGTAACAGTTAACGATGCTAGTGATGAGGTGCGCTTGGTCCCAGTGGGTGCGGTGGTCTTCGGAGTGGGAATGCTTGACTATCGCCAACTTCTCGTAGTCTCCCTTCCTGCCATGGACTTGGTGTTCTTTGACTCTGGTAGGGAGGTCCCTACCAGTCTCGCCAATATACACTTTGCCGCATTGGCAAGGGATCTTGTACACCCCTAGTTGGTGGTGCGGATCTTGTCGGTCCTTGTGGGCTGTCGTCATGCTGCGGATCTTGAGAGGGGCTGTGTGGGACACCTTGATGCCGTGCTTGCTCAGGATACGCTGGATGTTGTGGGAAGTACAACCAAGGTAGGGGAGGGTAACGGAAGTAGGGGCCTTATCTAAATGGCTTTGGGTATAAGTGACCCTTCGGTCTTGGGTTTTGAGTCTTGATCTGCTGGAGCACGTAGCCGTTGCGTTGAAGTTCCGTGGGAATGTGGTGCAGTTCATCGGTGAGGTGTGTCTTGTCGCAGATGTTGTGAGCTATGCGAACAAGGGCTCGGTTGACAGACAACTTGATTTCGGGGTGATGGAAGGAGGAGCTGTGGAGGTATCTGTCGGTGTGGGTGGGTTTGCAGTACACCTTGTGGGAGAGGCGGCCATCTTGACTTCCGGACACCTCAACATCAACAAAGGAAATGGTGCCATTTCTTTCTTGTTCCATGGGAACTTGATGCTGCTGTGAAGCAGGTTTATGTGATCCAAGAAGTGCCAGAGGTTGACAAATTCTTTGAACAGTTGGCTGGAACCTCCATGGGATCGCCTATATCCCCGATTCTAGCTAACATATTCATGGAAGAATTCGAGCAAACTGCCATCGCCACCGCAGACCATCGTCCCAAAATCTGGCTCTGGTATGTTGACGGCACTTTTGTCATCGGGCACGGGCAAAACAACCTCCTGTCCGATCCACACCACGAACAGCTGGTTTCCGCCCATTTTTACGTGCGACAAGCGCAGCTCTAGTGTTGGTTACAAGTACCAACTGAAACGCTAACGCATCGCTGTGCGTGCGTTGTGTATAATAGCTCCATGGTAACACACACGACGATTGGGACGCCAGCTTTCGCATAACAAAATGACCTAATTTAGTCAGTCCCAAGACCCTCGTATTAACAAGAGTGGACTTTAAACAATAACGATGAATGCTTAAGGTAATTTTAGTTTCTCCTTGTTTATTCACAGTTGGTCCATCGTGACCTTGCTACAAGAAATGTACTTCTTGATGAAGGCCTAACCTGCAAGTTGTGCGACTTTGGCCTGGCTCGTGATGTCAAAGGAATAGGACAGTACACACAGAAATCTGGGGTATTAGAATTGTTTCTTCTGGAGCGAAGTTTAACTTCAATTTCCACAGCGTTATCTGATAATTTACTAATCCAAGCGTTTGTGGCAGTCATTTGTCAAAATGGATTCTTTGGGGATATAATTGATCGAGATTATATATCTTGAATTCAAAATTGGAGAAACTTTATGGAAAGGATAGGTTTGATAAAGTGAGATGTGTTGCTAGCAGGTCTCAACTCAACTGTTGTTTGTTGTTTTCCAGAATGCGATTCCTTTTCGATGGCTGGCCCTGGAGTGTATTCGTGATAGCATCTACACAACCAAGAGTGACGTTTGGTCATTCGGTGTTCTCATGTGGGAGCTTATGACGCTTGGTATGTAAAATTACACAAAGGCAGGCAACTCGATTGATCGACCACACTAACCAGCAAGCCAACGACCTATCCAACGATCAACTATCCAAATACATGTTTTCCCTCCAGACCCCCTCCTCAAAAGCCCCATCCTAACCACCTTGTAGCTGCAGCTGATTTCATGAGGTATTGCTAACCTGGTTGATGCCTCCACTGTCTCTTCTGTGAACTGCTCAATCTACAAGCTGTTGACAGAGTATCTCTTTTTCTTATAATTCATTTATCACTTAGGCGCGCAGCCCTACACAGACATGTCCTTCGAGGCCATGGTTGTCTATCTGCTCGGTGGTTTTCGGCTTCCGAGACCTGCTCACTGTGGGGAAGAAATGTAAGGAGTGACTCCCCATTTAGTTGTTAACACAGAAGTGACCAGATTGTCGTCCATGATGAAAACGGGTTCGATTAAAGAGAGGGAGATGTTTACTCCAAAGCCTTTTTTCTCTTCTCCAGATATGTCCTGATGTCGGAGTGTTGGACAACCGAACCCGAATTCAGACCAAGCTTCACTGACCTACGGCAAAGACTGGATTGCCTGTTAAAACTTGACTCGGTGAGCCTGAAATTAGCCAAATATTAGATAGCCTCCTTGGATAACCTGCTTAGATAACCTGTTTAAGTTCTATGCAATACTGGTACATAGGAGCCGGAAAGTTGGTGGGTGAAGGACTGCAGCAACAGTTGTGAGATTTAAAACTTAGAAGTACAGAATCGGGAATGCCCAAAGTCTGGCATATAATTTGTACTACATATATAAATATGTGAATTTAAATTGCATTTGTATTGTTATTCCATTTTTAATAGTCGCACATTTTTGGCATACACAGAGACTGAAGTCATTTTATCTATGAACACATGCAGTTGACCCGTCTCTCCCTCTTTCCAACCCAAATAACTTTTAGACTGCATACTCGTCAGCATTATTTTTACAAGTATGCTCATCGTGTCCCTTTCATGCAGAAATTGATGGATATGTCCCAATTTACGTCTGATGTTTACCTCTACCAAAACCCGTTGGTGCAAACCTACTTGCTGGGAGAAGCCTAGAGTCTCGTTGGGCGAATCATGGACGAATTTGCTCATCGTGGTCGCCGAGACCTTTTTGCTATTCTGATCATGTCGGCAAGGGGTATTTTTATCACATTTGAAAAAACAACTCGCTGTGTACAGGATGATTGGATTATCGGATAATGAGGTCCGATGTACTGGCAGGAACACCCATTACAGATCTTTGATCTGTTCACAAAAAAAATGACAAGTGTTTGCTGGGCGGACTGCGAAAACTTTAACCATGGAAATTTCCTTCTCTTCNATACCGGAGGTCTTGTGTTGGTCTAATGATGGTGTTGTGGTGTCTTGAGATGGTCATAAGAGGTAGTACAGCACTGTTCATGTTCTATCTCTTCAGACCTAACCTCAAGTAGGAGTTGATAGAGTTCATGTAATTTTGAAGTGTTCAGTTGTCCATGTCCTAGTGCCATCCTGACAAGCTGCCCCCAACGTGCAGTGAGGCAGAGCGGGCAGCAGCATTACAGCGATTTCACCTGGTAGACACGGCTTGGAGGACGCTTGGTGACGAGGCTAGCAGGAAGGAATATGATGCGAGGCAGACAGGTACAAAGGTTGAAGCCAGGTTTCCAGTTGGTTGTTGATCATTGCCAGCACGCAATGTTCAACACGCCGATAGTTGCAAAAGAGATACTTGTGATGTCCTGGGCCCGTCAGGGAGTCTAGTTGGCACAGTGGTTCCTTCCTATAGTCACTCACCTTTGATTCGTTGCTTAGACCACGTGTTGATCGGATGTCATTCCCTACCCCATTCTCCAGATTTTGCCCAGAATGTTCTTCAGGGGTTTTCCTCCCACCTCTGTAAAAAACTGTAAAAATCGTCTAAGACATCAGAGCCAGTACCAAATTTAAATATCTGCCAACATTTTAACCAGTATCTTGTGATTGAATTGCAGAGAAAGAAATGAGGAAGCCGTGGCCTCTAAATGAGAAGGTCCACGTAGACGAGATGGATTGGCAAGAAGGTATGCAGTTTTTCTGCTGAACATTTATTCGCCTAACCGTTTTCAAGTAAACGTAAAAGTGAAGAATTCTAAGTTTGACTCAGTTCAAAGTCTGAACACACAAAGAAAAAACAACAGTCCGTTTACAAGCCAATAATGTGTGAACAAAGTGTAGAACAAGTTTTGAAATGCCCCCCAAGTGAACAGCGTATTTCAATACAGAGATGGTGTCTTTGACACGCAGTAAGATTGCAAAATTGGTCCATCAAGCTGCGCCTTGGCAGTTGCAAATCTTACAGAGACACGATGCTCCCTCAAAAGTTAAGAACAGACAATATGCTTAGCCTATTGCTTTCCTGCAGAGGGGAGAAGTTTACAGGATTGAGGAAGGTACAGCCCAGTCACTGTATGGGGCTCGTTGTCCCTTGAAAGTTTAAGTACAAAAAATGTGCTGTTGGTTTCCTGTAAAATGGAGGATTTTGTAGGATTCAGGAAGGTTCCTAGTAGAAACGCCTTGAGAGTTAAGATTAAACCAATTTTTTTTCCATTCATCGACCTTTGCTTTGCAGATGAGGAAGTATATAGCTACAGCTGTCGATGCGGCGGTGAATACGTAGTTACTGTCAAAGATATTGACCAGAATGTCTCTATCGTCGGTTGTAACACTTGCACGTTAAGTATAGAGTTGGTGCAAGGTGGCTCTTCAGAAGTCCAAATAGGAAATAGTGTGCAGCCAACGTGACATCTTGATGACTTTTAGTCTGAGATAACCCAAGTCCCAAAATGTAGTTTGGGCAGTGTGTTTATCTACTTTGTGGATCCCAACACCAAGCTTCTACCCACTCAGTATTCTGAATGCGAAACGCAACAGACAAGTACCAGACTGGTACCATCCTCCTCGTTTTGAAAGATGGAATATATTTGAGAGTCTGGAAACTGACGCTTTTGCCATTTTTCGGGACTTCAAACAACGAAGGTGTTCGTTAATCGAAGACAAGAATTGAGCATCTGCTTTGAGACGTTGTTAATGTGGGGAGATGGACTTTTGGGCGACCGGAGGCAAGTTTAGTTTCGGAACGTGACCGCACGTACGCGTTTTTAGGAAATGTTTTTACAGTGCCGTTCCAGTCTGAGAGCCCCTGGCGACTCCCTTTTTTGGTCACGCAACCCAGCTTGTGGTGCCAGAGACCCGTAAAAATCAATGCCTTCGGAACCTGGGATGTTATTTGCTTGATTTATTATCTCATGATTTACTGAATGTTAATTATATCGGGAAGGTACTCAGCAAGGCGAAACTTGAACTTGTACAAAGGGGTATAACCAGAATCCTGGAACAGCCCATGTGACTAAACTGACGCGATGGCCTGGTACATTTTGCATGCGAGATATACGGCTATGTGGCCGTAAATTTTGATCGAAAAACTGCTGTACATGGGAGCTGGGCGGAATTTTCGTCCCTGGAAAAATTTTAAGTGTGGGTGATTGTTCTACTTTTATGTTTTCAGGGTCAAAAGGGGCTCTCTGGATATCCCGTCGTCACAGGTTTAGTTCAAATATACTGGTGCAACAGTTGAGTCTCATCTGACGATGTAATTTCTGTGCCAAAGGTTGTAAGAAGACAATGAACTTATGAACATGCATAAAACAAGTAGTTTTAGTTTTTGAAGTGTTTGCATACATACTATTCCCATAGCACAGTTCTTAAACTCGGATGTTTTTCTTGGTATACACACAAAGTGGAGTCATGTTGTCCATGGACATGCAGTTGACTCTTCTGTCTTTTGCTCTTTCCAACCCAAATAACTTTTAGACTGCATACTCGTCAGCATTATCATTGCAAGTATGGTCATCGTGTCCCTTTCATGGAGGAATTGATGGATATATGCCAATTTACATCTGATGTTTACCTCTACCAATACCAATTGGTGCAAACCTACATGCTGGGAGAAGCCTAGTGTCTCGTTGGACGAATCATCAACGAAGTTGCTCATCGTGGTCGCCGAGACCTTTTTTCCTACTCTGATCATGTCGGCAAGGGGTATTTTTATCACATTTGGAAAAACAACTTGCTGTGTACAGAATGATTTGATTATCGGATAATGAGGTCCGATGTACTGGCAGGAACACCCATTACAGATCTTTATTCCGTTCACAAAAATTGACAAGCGTTTGCTCGGCGGACTGCGAAAATTTGCTTCTCTCT